TATGTACATGTGAGAACAACAAAGTGATAAGATAACAATGGAGGAAATATAGCTGCGAGCAGCGATGTAGGGCTCCTTGGATTTACTTCTTTGGAGCCTTTTGCATCTCTCACATATCTCATGAATGTAGTAATGGTATTAGTTAATATGAATCATATCACTGCTAGTCGAATGCTCTTCGACTGGAAGTACTGGGAGGTCATTAAGTTTCGATAAACTCATCACAAAACCTATTTTCGTACATTAAATAATATCACTTAGGTATCATGAATATCAAAACAGAAGAACCCTTTGTTCAAACAGTCAGAGAAACAAAAAAATTTTGTGGCCTCAACTATATAATTTGAAAGGTTCACTGTGACTGACATTATGTGAATCTAAATGTACGTCACATGTAGCTGACAAGTCGTGATGACTCGATTATTTACAGACCGCGGACATACAGCTTGAATATTGCTGAGTGTGGCGTAAAACTAAACTCACTCACACTCACGCTCACGCAAGTGAACTTGTGATTACACAGCAGTTAAGGCACTTCAGTAGTTTTGCATCAGTATCCATTACACTGTTACACTCGATCTGTTGCAACTGAATTCGTTAATCGAGAGCAGGTATATATACTGGAAATACACCTAAACTCGATACAGGTCACCTATGAAGTTTTAAAATCCATGCAAACAGCACCGAATTGTTAGCAAAAGCGTATTACTCTTCGGGCATTGCAAAGTCGGCGCCTGGTCGTTGTTGAACGATTTTACTAGCGCTTACTTCAGCTAGACCAGAGTTTCCCCCCTTAGACCACAGCTACAACTTTTACCCTGACCCGGAACGCTCAATCATTGACAATCTTTAAATACTGCCTAAAGACATAACCCTTACAAAAGATTGAATTACAATGAAGGAATAGCACCTGTACTGCAGTGTATTTTAATTTTGTGTAGCGCTAGCTCTCGTCATTGTCAATTGAAATTTACATCGTCTCCAATATCTGCACGTGGACTACGCTTTGCAGTGGTAGTCTCTTTATAGGAGATATCGTCCTTGCGCCTTCCTTCAGACTGTCGCATGCTTTGCACGGGTAATCTGCCGTGCCGTAAATGTCGATGACACTTATGACACATTCGGCAATGTATCCCTGAGCCGTCGGTGATATAAAGAAGTCCCTATTTCGTTAAATCTGCCCAAACTTTGGGTTTTTGAATGTAAGCATTATTTATGATGACTGGTACGTTGTTGGAAGACTTTTTGCGTGACGTTTCGCGTGTTCTGCCTGGAGTTGAGGGTCAGTTTGTTTGGCACTCTTTTGCTTTCATTTGGGGCACGTCTCAAACAGTTTTTTTCCCTTTTAGCTTCCATACGTTTTATCCACATGGATAATGTTGAACAGATGTTTTTGATCAGTAAATTTTATGGCGCTCTTCAAAGTTTGAAAGCCGTAGCGCTTGCAGGGTCTTTTGACATAGGACCAAGAACAGAAAATGTTCAACAACCAAAGGCAACTTCAGAACAAGCGTTTAAAGTGTTGTATGTGGTAAGTTTCGTTTGGCACAAAATAGCAAAGTAGCCCGTGAAAGTTTTTGAAGACAACTTTTGCCCAAAAGTAGCGTCCAATATGGCGGCCATCATATAAACATAGGCACATTTGACGATGCTACTGTGTAGAAACATGCATAGAAACAAAGTATGCAACGTTTGAAAGCCGTAGCCCTTGTAGTTTTAGTGCAGCACATTTTGGGAGGTATGCAGTCAGGATTTTGCTGAAAAACATCAACAAAAACTTCAATCCCAAATAGCGTCCAAACGGTGCATTTTAGCGACTTGAGCCGTCCAGGCGAAATTGTAGGCATTTTGATTGCGCATCTGCTCAAGAACTTTGGCACACATTGGAACATTAGTTTTGGAGATATTTGAATTTGAAATTGAAATTTTTGAATTAATTTTGAATTATCTGCCCTTTGCTATTGGGCCTACAGCCTAGAGATTTTAAAGCGCGATATCTACACCTCGGTGGGCATCTGGGTGATTTTTGTCAAGGCATTCTGTCCAGCGGTGCTCTCTGTAGCTCTGTTACAAAATACGGCGGAAGAATAAATAATAATAATAATAATAATAAAAACACGAACGACTACAATAGGTCTCCTGCCTAAAGGCAAAGGAGCCCTAAATAGACATAAGGAGATTCCAATCAGCCATGAACTGTGACCGGGGCACATATCTGCGTAGCGAAGTGGAGTTACTGAGTTAATCATCAGTGCCAGTATCTATCGAGCTCACTACCTAATCATTTTTACCATGGCGTAATAATACTCATAATATCAATCCATGGTGTGTCTGGACCAGACTGAATATTTCACAGGCAGCCGTTATACAGCTTTATATACTTCCATGTACTGTTTTATCAGTGCATAATCGACACAAAATCTTATGTTATCTATTTAATCAGTAACCCAGCAACAGGTAATACAACAAACACTAAAAGATGCAGGTCCAGAGACACAATCAGCCACTTCATACATCACCAAATCATATTGAGTTGGGTCCTCTATCCACCAGTGTGTAAATGTAGGGGACACTCTGGTAGCTTGGAATCCCATTAATCACTCTTAGTCAATCTGTGAGTAACCTGTATGTATATTCGAGTGATCCAGTGCTTCAAGTTGTAGTCGGCAGTGTCAGTCAGGTTAGTTAGTGAGTGCGTTTTGTTTTACGCTACTCTTAGCAATATTCCAGCAATATCACTGTGGGGACATCAGAAACGGGCCTCACACATTGTACCTCTGTGGGGAATCAAACCCATGAAGAGCCAGCGCATTAACCACTAACCGCTTTAAACAACCCCTTGGGTTAGTGGGATCCGGTAGTAACTTGGAATCCCCTTATAGTAAAGTGTATCCAGGTGTATCCTAGAGAGACCAAGAGTTTCACGTTTTTGTCATCAGTGTGTTCCAGTAAATGGAAATTGTGAAAACTCATAGCTTTTGTCATTTTTACTTGTTTAAGACATACTTCGCAAATATTCCAAGTATATGACAGTTGTCTGTTAATATTTGTTTCTGAACCAGACAATCCAGTGACTGACATCATGAGCACTGATCGTCACAAATGGGATATGATAACATGCATCAACCATGCCAGGAGTAGAGGATACTCAAGTTAGTTAGTCGGATCTTAAGCACCCTATTCACCAATATTCCAGTCAGTTTGGTAAATATGCTTTTAAATTATTCCAATATGGACGAGACAATCTAGTGATTGATAAAACAAGCTAAACCTTACACATTGTTTGATAACATGGGAAAAATAACCACAATCTTTGTTATTTTGAATGGACAAAACTGTCATTTTATGACTACATAGAAATGATTGTATGAAAACCGAAAATACTGAATTTTTGCCTTGCATTATGGTATAGGGAACCGAAGGCAAAATACAGCGGTTCTACTAATACCGCAGTATAACATTTCACCCCTAATGATTACCAGTTGGATCATTAGCTTAACTATAGCTCCGTTATTTTTAAATGAAACCCAGGCCTTTCCAAGCACAGGCAACCATTCTGACTACTGGGCTACTCCACAAGGGCAAAAGAGACACAAGAATCAGGAGCAATGATAAATAAGAAGTTTTATTAAATAAAACGCTGAATAAATAATGCAATGAGAAGCAAACAATGCTTAATCGTTCTACAGATACACATTAGCAAATGTGAAAACAATACATTATGCTGTCAGTAAACCAGTGTAAAATATATGTCAACTTACACAGGTGTACAATCATCCAGTGCATCTTGGACATGCAAGGAAATGTCACTTCAAAAATAGCATTGTGTATACACAAATAATCATAACATTTGAGAAAAAGTGACACTTGTGGAGGTTTAAGGCCGATTGAAATCTGCATAAGATAACACAATTTGGACAAAACTGTATTCCATGTTTAATGGCAACCTCATCATTTCTACCACTCCCATAATAAATAAGAAAAGAAAACTGTAATCTTAAAAGTGCTATTATTTCATACTGCTTTAGTGGGCATACTCGTGAACTACAGTTAAAGAAATATTTAACAAAATTAAAATTTTAGCAGTATTCCAGCAATATCACCGCGGGGGACCCCAGTAATGGGCTTCACACATTGTACCCATGTGGGGAATCGAACCCAGGTCTTTGGCATGACAAGCCAACGCTTTAACAACTAGGCTGCCCCACCGCCCCAAATGTAATGGAGATGTATGGTGGTGACGAAAGTAGTAGGATCCACAATCTTTCATGAATTCAACCACTGAAGGCATTTAGTACCTTAGATAAATAAAATCTGGAAGAATATTAAATATTTGTTTGTCAAAAACAAAGAACGCACTGTACTGTTCACTTTGCCAGTGTGCAACTACTGTATATTGTAGCCACAATGTTGCAACTGTTTTAACAAGAACATTTCCAAACAGGCTGAAATAAACAAAATCTGAAAACATCATCACAATTGTCAAGGACATCATACCAGTAAAAATATATTAACTTTGGATTCAAGCTTAAATGCAGATGATGAAATTTCATGCTCCTCAGGAAGATTCTCATAGCATACCAGTTGATTCCTTACTAATAAATATTAAATAAGCACCTTTTATGAAACATAATTGTAGATATACATAAATTATTAACAAAGTTGGTTTGGGAAATGCAATATTTGCTTAAACAAGTAGAGCACTATATCACAGGACTCTGGTTTGATTCTGTCATGATAATGCTCATCTGGTATATATCACCAACAACTTTATTGTAAGTGTAATTTTACTTTTTTTTTTTAATTTCTACCCACTCAACCTACGAAAAAGGTTAGTGATGCATTTGTGTAAATATATCAAATACATAAATTGCAATCAACCTCACCAAAAAAAGCTACAGCCACTGTTGGGCTACTGTTTCCTGATTGGCTGTATTGAGTGAGTGAGTTAGTTTTCATGCCGCTTTTAGCAATATTCCAGCAATATCACGTCGGGGGACACCAGAAATGGGCTCCACACATTGTACCCATGTGGGCAATCAAACCCGGGTCTTCAGCGTGACGAGCAAATGCTACCCCACCGCCCTGATTGGCTGTAAATTGACTGGACAGGACTGTGTTGCTTCACTTCCCCGAAGAATGCTGCTAATTTTGTATAATGTTTATGACTAAATAATCACTCTGTGAATAAATGACTTCAAACATATATTGCTTTTAAGGAATTATAAACATAAAATGTGGTTTGGACTCCTTGTATCCACAAAATGCAATTTTCAAATATACTATGAACTAAATTCAGTAATGTACAGCATCAGACATTTCATAATGACCCAACACCAAACATCACAGATTTACTCATTGCACTAAACTACAATCTCCATGACTAGAAATTGGCCTAAGATCTTTAAATGATGTCCCTGTATATATAATCTCACTTGACAAAATATTGTTGTTACCACAGTAACAAAATAAACATATTATTAACAAGGCTCTGTATTTAACATATCGCAGTAACATCCATGTGAGGGTATCAAGTATATGCAATCAAGTCAAGCAAATCATAAGGCTACCTGACTACTCCAATAACAGTCTCAAAAATAGTTTTGTTTTAATCTCAAAAAGCTAGCTTGACCTGACATTATATAAGGCTGGATTCAAAGCCATAAGAGACTGACTGGATCACACATGCTCACAACCATTATACTTATATACCTAGGCATAATCTTCATCTAAAGAAGGGAAGTATGGATGCCAACTTTTTATTATGAGGAACACAACATTACAGAATATACCCATACTCCTTCATAAAAATTGATTGAAATGTGAACCTTATATTTGGTGTTCCTTCTAAAAAGGAAATTAACACCCATAAATTCTCTCCTTTATGTTATCACCTCCAAATGCTACTCAAAAGCATGATTACGATGTCTAAATAGGTATACACTGTATATCCAGTTATTTATCGATAAATAAGCAATTTATACAGGCACATTACACTTGTTAAACTAAAACTCTTCAACAAAACATTCACAAGACAAAAGATGGGAGTCCAGGAGAAGGTAGAGTTTAGTTGATATATCGTGGCAAAACAGTCCATCTCAGCCTATGGCTTATCTGTCTCAAGGCCTCATGTTTGGTTTAGTTGGTATCTGAGACTGACAAAAAAAAGACTCTGAAATTGGCCAAAAAAGAAATAATACTTTTGAAATGTTTTTTGGGGGGTACGGTGGTTTACCATGTTTTCAGTGAAGTGAAATGTAAAAAACCCAGAACATACTAGATTTTATTGCAAGGTTTAAGAAACAGTGTATAAGATTTAACAAATGGAATAATATGTAAAAATATCTTTCTTTTAAGAAAAAGACAAATAATCAATTTGCATTGCAAATTACAACTAGATTTTCATGGAATAGTTTACTGCTAAATGCAATCATTCCTAATGACAGCCATGAACAGGTTTATTCAGTCACAGCAAAGGAGTTGTAGACACTTTGGCTGAACTGTGACAATATTGTACCTAATATTCCATATCACACACTATATATAATGCAGGGTCACATTCGACTAGGCCATTGTTAGTGCTAATATGATTGCAAGTATCTTACTGCAACATAGACTTACGACAGTCATAGTGGTACGATTGCTGTGAGGTAAAAGATGACTGCCTCAGCAGCCAAATACATCCTCACAAAGAACTGCTTGATATGTGAAGCTTGTTTGTAATGCATCCTTTAACCATATGATGCCATTTACCATTACAACTACAAAGGCACTATTTTTCACTAGATGAAAGGTGTGGCTTACACCCCTCTAAATCAATGGACACTTCAACATGTTCAAGAAGGAACGAACTTGGTGAGAAAGGCATGGGGGTGGCACTATTGCAGGTATGGCCGACAAGATACATGGCATATATAATTATGAGGTAGCATTCTACTCTACACATAAATGTGTATTGCTAGGCTACTTAGTACTTTACAGGGATCAATGCCAATGTGCCTCGGTAGACAACAACCAGAGTTTGTAGGGGGTCTTCAATATACTGGATAGAGCTGGCTAAAAAGGTCGAAAATCAGATAAATTATATGACGGGTAGATTTCCGCCCTTCTGATTGGCCCACTTGGTCACATGACAGCTTTGATGCTAAGCGATGTCAACCTCGTCACGTCGCGTGAGGTTGATATAACAATCCAAGCACCTCCCGTGGCTAAAAATAGATTTGGGCTATTCCAGCTGTGAACTCCGCACTGCGTGCGTTACGCTAGATAAGGAAGCGATAGGCATTGCTTTGTCCCTGTGACTGTGTTGGTTTATGTCCCATCTGTATCAAAATGGCAGACGACCCGACACCACGAAGATTCATGACTGTGTCAGTATTCAGTACTTTTGTCATATAATAAAACAATTATTGACTTCAGTTCGGTTGATCCAATGATTTATCAACCTTGGACATGTGATACTCACCTCGGCTACGCCTCAGTGACTATCACATGTCCAAGGTCGATAAATCATTGGATCAACATCACTAGAAGTCAATAATTGTATAATATCACTTATCAGAAAAATTATTTATGATTACCGACATAAAAATTGTGCATTCGATAATATTGTACATAAACCTTTGTGAAATATAGTTTTAATTTACTCATGCAACGCATTAAGTTAGGTTTTTAATCACGGACTGCTTCAGGACACTGTTTTGTTTGTCATCCATGCATAAACATATCACCTCTCACCAGTGGAGTGTAATGTTGAATTCTTAAAGATATTTTGCTTGAACTTACATCTGCCATATTTCTTGCTATTTAGTAAGCGATTATCAATCCTGTTTGCCTATATTGATAGCCAACCCTAACATAATAACCCTTATTTCACATGAGTTAAAAATATTAATGTTGAAACTTCCAGTTAGACAAATGTATGAAATAAGTCTCTAAAACAACATAAATACCAACCATAAGTTCCCATCCTGTTTACTTATTCAAACCTTTTGCTGTTTCTACGTTAAACTTCCCTAGGCACAATGGCAATGGTACAATAGAACCCTGTATGTTACCATCGTTACACAGGTTGCAATGCATACATCGTATATATCATGGATTAATGATATCCCTCAACCTTATGTGTCTACGTGAACTTTGTTGTACATTCATAAACATTAATAAATAATTTAGCTTGAAGCATAAATCAGAAATGATGTAATATCTTTGACATTGTTTTCAGGCTTCTTTTTATATAAATGGAAAGTGCTCAATCTAATCAAACTTTTTCTTGGGGACATGCATGTTTGAATATATTAACCAAGTTTCAGCATTAATAACAAATCTGTGTAAATATAATTCTCTGTGTAAAAGTGTAAAACTTTTCAAAACATATGTAAATTGGTAAAATTGTTTCCAGAATGATCAACTTCGAGCGAATGAACACTGTGAAGTACCTGACACAGAATACACCCATGCAAATATGTCATCAGTGTTTCAAACCTTTTGTACATAACATCCAAAATTTGTGATTTTCATTTTGTAGATACTTGTCACTTAGTATCACCGTCCAACAAGTGTGGTCCCATATCTTGTATTTTCACGAAGAGCTTCCCATCAAGGGTTCCATCAATTAGGTACGGAGAATCATCCTGCATCAGTTTGTCCAAGTCGATGATGTTTTCCATGGCGAGGGTCGATGATTCCTTCCCAAACAGATGGCTCATGTTGAAGGTGTAGGCAATGTACCTTACAGAATTCTTTCGGCCATAAAGCACCAGTGTGACATCAGTCTTTAAAGTAGTTTGGTCAGAAAACTTTCGACACAGTTTGAACGTTGTGGCATCGCTCTGACGATTCATGTACGTGCCATATAAGGTGATGGTATTGTAGAAACCACGAGGGAAAAAGTAGGCAGTGAATTCGGTGCAAGAACCTTGGGATTGACTGGAGGGCATGTAGTGGGTTGGGACGTGACATTCAACTGTGACGCGGCTGTTTATCTTGCTGATGCCTGGGTAATTCTCAAGCAAAAATGGAAAACATAGGTGGTATTCCTTACTGTAATAGTTCCTGAACTGCTCTCGATTTTCACAAACATCTCCACAATCCATCATCAGAGAATGGTGACGATAGGCTTGATTTAGCTTCTCTGCAAAATGTTCTGTGTACTTCGAACACAAAGGTGACGATTCAATTGTTAATAGATTTTTAGGCAAGATCATGTTAAATCTCAAAAGGGGCAAGATGTCTTTAAGATTCTCTGCAAGTGAATCACGGTTTTCTTCACAGGTCAGCCATTTCTCGACTTTGTTCCACAAATGGATCTCACTCAGTACCACAAGATCCGAGCTGCTAAGGAACTCAACAAGCTCAGTCTTAGTCATTTCATGCCAGTCGGGGGCATCAAGAATAACATCAAAATTGGACAGGATGAATTTCTGACAGATCTCTTTCAGTTTTTCCTGTCCCGTCATTTTGGCATACTGGTACCATGTTAGTGTTCGGTTTGTGTCGGGAGACTCAACAATGTGTCGCATCATATATTCGATACAGGACTCGCGCAGGGTAGTGATGCTGTATTTGTCTGCCAGTAAAAGGATGGGTAGAACTGTATCCGTCGACACCTGGACTGAGCCACTGTAGAGATATCTGAAAAAGACCCAGATCAATGAAAACAGAACAGTAAGAATAAAAATAAATTAAATGAAAATCATTTTCCAAAATATGAAACAGTGGGAGAGAGACGGTAAGAGAGGATGTCACTTACTTTGAACAAAAAATTTAGGCGTGGGGTGTGGGGTGTGTTGTCATTCACTTTGTACATGCTTCTCCATAAAAAGCATCATTAGCCATAAATTATTAACGGACCCTAAATGTGGTGTCAACATTTTAGGAATAAGTGTTTGAAGTTTCAGCTTTGTTGGTCCAGTCAGTAGATGGTACAAGGATTTACAACATGCAAAACACAAAAGATGCAGAATGGAAATAGATAAGATTAACATGGAAAACCACCCTCTTGCCTGTGAGTATCCTGCCTTACCTAATACAGTAATATTCTGGTAAGATCAGTTGTTTGGTAATAAACATATAAACCACTAATTTGGAATGAGCCATAGACTAGGACAGGAGACTGAACTAATGATGCCTAGACTGTATTGCTAACATGTGAACATATACTGGACAGAGAACTAGAACCTACTTGAGGAATATCCCGAACACTGGAGCACACTCGGGGTCTTCTGTCAGGTCTATCTCTGGCTCCTGAGATTCCACCCAACGCCTCTGGTTCAACATGGCTCTGAAAGTACAAGCAAACATTTAATCTGATGTTTGGATCTGAACAGAAACTGCAACACAAAAGCAACCTTCAGAAATGACTGAATTACACAGGTGTTCGAACTGAAAGGAACACTTTGTTATATACAGCAGAGTTAAATAAGTCTATTTTATGGCCTCCACAAGAGAAATCAGCAATTACCCCGAAAATATAATCTTTAGGGCTCTTGCTTTCACTGTAAACAGACACCATCTTTGGGGTTTGTAATAAAAAACAACCTGGCATCAAAGTACACGTCACTGACTGGGCCCAAGCATCATATAAGGAACTTTTCATATGGTGCTAAGACTTGGGGATATATGGCGCTTAGACCCTGTTAGTGACAATTTGTACCTTGATGCCAGTTTTTTTTGCATTACAATCCCCTGTGATGGTGTCTGTTTATACTGACTGTCTGAGTATGGTTTTACTCCGCTTTTAGCAATATTCCAGCAATATCACGGCGGGGGACACCAGAAATGGGCTTCACACGTTGTACCCATGTGGGGAATCGAACCCGGGCCTTCGGCGTGACGAGCGAACGCTTTAACCACTAGACTACCCCACGGCCCCCTATTTATACTGAGTGAGTGAGTGAGTTTAGTTTTACGCGGCACTCAGCAATATTCCAGCTATATGGCGGCGGTCTGTAAATAATCGAGTCTGGACCAGACAATCCAGTGATCAACAGCATGAGCATCGATCTGCGCAATTGGGAACCGATGACATGTGTCAACCAAGTCAACTGAAACTGACCACCCGATCCCGTTAGTCGCCTCTTACGACAAGATAGTCGCCTTTTTATGGCAAGCACATGGGTTGCTGAAGACCTATTCTACCCCGGATCTTCACGGGTCTATTTATACTGAAAGCAAGAGTATTAAACGATAATTTTTGTTGGTAACCACTCTTTTTCATAGTATTGTTGACCCCGAAGCAGGTATAGGAAGGGGTTTACGTCCTTTTCTGAACTGTAATATCAACTATTGTAGATGCGAAAAGGAGGATGAAACCAATTTGCTTCAAGAAGGTGCACTATGATCACTAGATGACTGATCTTAACACTGTGTTTTGACACGACCACTGATAAACACTATGGAAGAAAACTTTGCTCCACTTGGCATTCATTTTCTATCCTGAAACTTATTTATCAGAAATAATAATTTCTAAAGTGCAACAACAAGCCCTTCAGACATTGACGATCCACAATATATCAGAATACACCAAATATCTGCGACACTCACTCAAAGACATCACTGGCTGTGATGAGGATGAACCTGTGAGAGTAGTATCTGTCCCTGCCCACCCGTAGCACCAGATCGCTGAGGTTGCTGCTGTTGTAGAGAGCGCTGAACCGGGACACAAACGCTGCCTCATCTTTGATGGTCTCCAATGTCAGATTTTGTTTCTTATTCAGCCCCTCATCCTTGGTCTCTGGATGGTGACGTTTGGCAGGACGACTCTCCATTTTTCGGTATTTACTAAACGGAGGCCAGAATAGGTTGCCTGTAATAGTAACAGGAAGAAATGAGGTGAGGTGAGGTGAGGTGAGGTGAGGTGAGGTGAGGTGAAATTGGGTTTAACGTCGTGCTTGAGAATATTTCGCTCATATGACGACGTGCATGCATGTGTATGTGTATGTGCGGCTGCTTGTACTAGTCCAGACTGAAGCTGGTTTTATAGTGCTAGCCCACTGAGATACCATGCCGCAGTGAAGCATGAATACCCCCCTCAGACACATGATACTGACTCCGAGTCGACCAGTCCTTGTTGTCTCATTAATGCCGAACGCCAGGCAGGGACCAACAAGTACCATATTTTAATGTCTTTTGGTATGACGTGGTCGGGGATCGAACCCGCGACCTTCTGCTCTCCGGGCGGACGCTCTAACCACTACACCACGGAGGCGGTCCCAGGAAGAAATGAAGATACATGGACGGCATGGATAAACTAACAATAAACTAACAATAGGAAGGTAATATTTACTATTTCTCATTTAGAAAATGTAATGGTTGCTTTAAAAACACAGAAAATCTATCTTAGTGTAACACAAAAAGTAAAATTCAGTGTCTATACCTAAACTGGATAGGTGAAATGGGGTTTAACATCGTACTTATGAATGTTTTGCTCATATGATAACGTGCATGCGTGTGTATGTGTGGCTGCTTGTACTAGCCCAGACTTAAGCTGGTTTTATAGTGCTAGCCCACTGAGATACAATGCGGCAGTGAAGCATGAATACCCCACTCAGACACATTATACTGACTCCGAGCCGACCAGTCCTTGTTGTACCCATTAATGACGAGCGCCAGGCAGGGACAAACAAGTACCATATTTAAACGTCTTTTCGTATGACGCGGTCGGGGATCTTTTGGGACTTTCCGCAATCCGGGCGGACGCTCTAACCCCAATACCACGGAGGCGGTCAGTCAATGTATTGAACATCATAGAAACCAGTTCACTTACTTATTTCATACATCACCTCTCCAACCTTGATCAGAAAGAATATTCCACCATAAGATGCATAACACATGATCATCCTCAGTGCTACACTCGATAATCATCGGTTCACAATCAAACCACAACGCTGACAGATCTAATATAGAAACTGCCAATAATATTTATAGCTGCTTATTGAAACAGTTTCATTACTTTCAAATTAAACTTGCAACTGAAGCCATTAGTTCCAGCTGACCACTACTCAATGTAGGATAGCCTGAGCTATCAGTGATTGAAGCTCAATTCCACACAAAGATAGGATATTACATGCAGGATATGAACTGGTATATTTGATACACTGAGCTAGGAGAGAAATAATCTAGACAAAATACTTCAATGAGCCAAACTCCCCGAACATGGTTATTTTGATTAGTGATTAACATAAGCAAGATTAGTTTTGTCTCCCAGTCGCTAAACCACATTGTTTCAATTCCAACGAGCTCACATTGTAAAGCTTAAATCATCTATAAAGCAATTCTACATTTCCAACAAGCTAAATGGCTCCTTTCCTTTGTAGCAGCTTGATGTTATCAAATCATGTATTTACAGAGACTAAGCATTATGTTACTATGTTAGGAAACAAATTCAGTTTGCAAATGAAAAACTCTCTGTTTTGTACAGATTGTAATATGATCTGTTATCAACATATTACATTTTTAATCAAAACAAGCAGGTGTGTGTTATTGCAAATGGTTTGAGAACTTGGTAAAATTAAATTAAATCTTTGCAAATAACTTTGCTTTTGAATGAATATGATGCTATACAGGGTAAAGAAGAGTATGAGGTTAGGTGAAATGTGGTTTATACAGACTCTGAGCCGACCAGTCCTTGTTGTACCCATTATTGCCAAGCCCCAGGCAGGGACCAACAAGTACCATATTTTAATGTCTTTTGGTATGACGTGGCCTGGACCTTCAGCTCTCCAGGCAGACCCTCTGACAACTAAACCATGGAGGTGGTCTGAAGAGTATGAGCAACTCAGAGATACATAATCTAGTGGAGATAAATAATTATGGGGTGGCTAAAATTTTATAGCACTAATAACATGTGATTCTTTAACTGTGCAGCCTTGGCTACCACTTTTTAAAGGTAACAAGAAGACAAAGTCATCAATATCCCCCGCAATGGCAAAATACTCTTCATGATTATGTCTACGAGTTATGATTATGTCAAATATTTAGGTGTGTATATAGAAAAGTGGAAATAGAGTATTGAAACGTTTTTAAAGTTCTGCTCCAGATAATAGCACTATCACCAATTTCAGTCAAAGTGAAACTTGTTGCCATGGAAACACCAAAATATTTTATTCAGAATTCCAAAACTACCAAAAGGCACAAGTACACCACCAGATCTATCTATGTGCCAAGTTTGGTGAAGAAACATTGAACGGTTTTAGAGTTCTGCTCCGGAAAAGAGCACTACCACTAATTTCAGTCTAAGTCAAACTTGTTGCCATGGAAAACGCCAAAAATATTTTATTCAGAATTCCAAAACTACCAAAAGGCACCAGTACACCACCAGATCTATCTATGTGCCAAGTTTGGTGAAGAAATAGTGAACGGTTTTAGAGTTATGCTCGGAAAAGGGCACTACCACTAATTTCAGTCTAAGTCAAAATTGTTGCCAAGGAAACGCCAAAAATATTTTATTCAGAATTCCAAAACTACCAAAAGGCACCAGTACACCACCAGATCTATCTATGTGCCAAGTTTGGTAAAGAAATAGTGAACGGTTTTAGAGTTATGCTCCGGAAAAGACAAATGTGCGAGGACAGAGTCCATTTTAATACCCCCAAAAAGCGTTGTGGGGGATAAAAAATATCTATTGTTATCACAGTTTTTATACTTAAGACGTTCCTTGGTCCTGGAGATTTGCTGTGTGTGTCTGTCTGTCTGAATGTTTGTCTGTATGTTTGTGTGTATGTCAGCTTGAACTTGCCTGAACAAATGACGTTGTACGCCAACTGAAATAACCAATTCCAAGCTGACAAATCCTTCTAACAGGGAAACACAAATGAACATTTTATAATGTATTTTGGTATAAGGTGGCCAAGAACAGCATCCCTGCTCTGCTCTCCACGCAGATGCTATATCCACTTATCCATGGACACATTCATGACAGAACTGTGGTCAAAAACATTAAACAGCAACATTCCAGCTATTGGGCAGCAGTCTGTAAAAATTCAGTCTGGATAACATAATCCAATGATCAACATCATGAGGAATGATCTAAGCAATTGGGATACCATGACATGTGTCAACCAGACCAACTGACTGACAAGCCGATCAGCTGATCGCGTCATCGCCTCTTTACGACGCATCTTGCTTACGACCAAGCATTGGTTGCTGATCTTCAGTAAACTAATCCATTATTGCATTTATGACAAGCATGGACTGCTCTGGGCCTTATGAAAGTGGGATGTCACCTGAGCTTTCTTGTCACATTGCATAATCAACATGCAAACAATACAAACTGAAACAATACTGACCAGACCATTGTGAAAATAGATCCATTAAGTTAGGGAACACAGTAAAATCCTCATTTACAAATATCGGCAACATTGTCAATGTGTCTCACAGTCCACCCTCTTAACCTAGACTTGACTGCTTCATGTGATTAAATGATCTGTAACTTGTCATATCTAACTGACTACCTGTGTTTGTCGTCCAATCAACTATTCCTGTACACTATCACGGTTGACAACTGGATCTTTCCAACTAGTTTTAATTGCCTTAACTTTCTCAGTTGGTGGTTAAGTGACAGCAGATCTCACTGTTAATAAAATAGGTGCATTATTAGAATACAAGAGCAGCTGTTTGTGTTTATAGTGTGCTGAAGGGTATGAGCTTCAGATGTTGCATGTGACTGACTTTCTGACAACCTGAGGTTTTGATGTCCACATGTTCCTATTCTATCAGCTCCAATTGCTCATTTCACATGCTCTCTACAATTCTACTTTCTCTCTTCAAGTCATTCTACTTGTTTTCTACTATTCCATTTTAGATAAACTTTATGGATAAAAACTTCTCCATTTTGTGTGTGTGACATTTCGATATACACTTCGCCTGCACTTCATGTCACATTCCTGCTTGACATTGGTACAAGAATCTGTATTGAAATGTCGCATTGTAAATTGTATTTTGTACTACCCAACTTCTATAATTCCACTCAAAGAAGCTCTACAATTCCACTTGTATGAAAGGTATGTGGGTCCTAGTCATAACCCTAATGTTAAAAGTCAAACCTTTTTGGCGTCCGTAGAATCAAATTGACAAAAAGCAATCCCCCTGCAAACGGTTGTGATGAAAAAAAACCATGGTTTTTCATATAACAAATAAATAATGAAACATTATTTCATGTTTCCAAACCATAACTTCAAGTCTCAGATTCAAATTAGATCAAATCATGACTTGTGACAAAGTAAACGGTTACAGCCCTTGTGACAGATAAGTGAAAATGAAAACAGCATGATAAACAGTGTTTGAAATCTGGAATGGTCCTTACCAGAGTGAACTGAAACGTTAAAATGCTTGGGATGTCATCTAAAAACTACAATAGGAGAATTCAACCTTCACAAGAGTCAAACACCTCATACATACTAATGATGCAAAGTAGGCCATCTCTGTGCACATCACATGGACTGTACACCTCTGTAGTCCTTATCAACAAATGTAACAGTTGAATATTATAATAATCATTTATAACTAGCACCCTTGTGTAGCAGGGTGTTGAGTCATCAAACAGATGACATCCTTATCTTGTCAGCTAGCTTGAATCCATTATCCTTTGGACAATCATCAGTCAATGTCTTAAGTAATGAAAAGTGTGAAACCCAACTTTATGCATAATTATTTGTGAACAGCTTTGGCATTTGTGTTTATCATGTTCATAGGTCTCGAATAATTAGCTCCTTCAATACAGGTGATAATACTGCTGTGTTCATAATTCAATAGATTACATGTGGCTTGACCTTAGGACAACCTATTGACAATATTGAACTTTGGAACAGCTGTTTCAGTACAACAGGATGACAGGTGAACATAGAGGCATAGAAATTAGATCAAAGTGAGTGTGTATGGTTTTACATCGCTTCCAGCAGTACGGGGGACGTACGAGTTCTGCCTGTAATCCCCGCTTGAAATGTATATTCTATTTATTATGATTATATCTAGGGGTTAGGGTTTGGGTTTAGCGTGTATATTTAGCATTATTTTAGGTTTAGGGTTAAGGTTAGGGTAGACTTTCTATAAAAACCATTTATTCTTAGGCAGAGAATGATTAAAAAACGGGGATTGCGAGCGGAAATCAGAAATGGGCTTCACGCAAACCGGTAGTACCCATATTAGATTTGGCCTTAGATTTGAAGATTTGCGGCCAGTTAGATGTAATGTGCAAACATTTACAAAAGCCAAGTGTGGTTAACAAGTGTGACACTGTATACATGTTATTTGTGATGAAGGGTGCCAGTTACCGATCATTTAGATACATATAAAAGATTGTCTGCTGAAGATTCTCACCCATTTTGACAACACTGTGACGTCTTTCTGTCTCTCTTCATCATTACTGGCGTGTGTGGTCGCGTTTCGTCAGTTGGTGTTTGTCAGTCTCGTTCCAGAATTCACAATTCGCAACATTGAATGAGGTAGACTAGCTGAATACTAACGCACACTACACCAGAAAGACAATCATGCTGGGAATCTGGCGGCTTATATGTACCTTTGAAATAATGAGTCACTTTTGTTCTCGCTCCGGGACACTCTGACCTGGGACTCGTTGGCCGGAGTCACTTCGCCATACTCAACAGTTGTCACATTTGCATATGATGTTTCCAAATGAATTAACTATCGTAATATATTGCGGGTGCAAAAACGTGGGTCAATGATGTACCTGTATTTTACTCAACTTCCTCAACAAACGTAAACTTCCGTTTAGCCGCTCTGATGGGAAATATTCATCAACATACTTATGGCGTCCGTTGTCTTAAGGCCAAGGGAGACAACTCTGAAATAGAACGTTTTTACGAGCTCAAGTAACTTTCTACGAGTTCGAATACCACAGAATTGTTTACTTTTGAAAATATCACTTACTTTCACTTTTTAGTAAAAAAAATAATTCCTTAAATATCTCTAAGTAATCTCACTGTGAAGCCAAAAGTTGCAAAATGTTAAATTTGTGTTTGTATAAATTTTTATCTATCCACCACAATTCATGAACTGAGAAAACAAATGATTGCTCTCCAGGCCCTGTTATATTACACTTAATGTCTACATCTAAGTCACAGACTTGGACTTACAACAGTGATAAGGCTATGATCAATTCATGAAACATGGCCCGGATCAGGTTGTTTCAATAAAGCATTCCAAACTTAATGACTTCCATTTAGTAAAAAAATCCAGGTGGCACACATTTTCCCATTAATTACAACTGAATATGAAATTATTTTTTTATTTTAAAATTATTTTTTTTTATTCATTTCAGATAGGTACACAAAGACAGGGAGTACACAACTCCATGTTAGGGCTGGTTACATTTTGGCAACAAAGAGTTACAAATTTTCAAAGTAAGAAAATATAATGTCTTTCAGTGGCATTTAGAAGTTGTACATTGATGTCCAAGATATTTTTTTATGGATTAAACTTCTTTTTTAATTTCTCTCACAACGTTTCGAGACCATTCCAGGTCCCTTCATCAGGTGAACTGGCAGTTAGGACTATGACGTCGTCACTATGACGTCATTACTGAGTTATGACGTCACAATGCAAGTGACATCACAGTACACTAGGGAGAGTACTGTATAAGTGAGTTAGTTACATAATGATGAAATTCATGCTAAATAATAGAGTTGAAAGTTGAATTGTCAATACACAACAACTGCTAATTACACAAAGGTTACTTGATAGCAGGCTTTCCAAAAAGAATAGTAGACTCGTTTTTTCTTGTATCTAAAGTTCATCTAAAGTTCATCAAAAGTTAATCAAGAGGTCCCACGCACTTGGCAGGTATACACCTTGATCACGATTAATTGCTGGTTTATGTCTCCTTATCTCGACAGCTTCCTGTAGTTTTCTCCGACGCCAGTCATTGTTATTTCTCGAAATCACCCTAATATCTTTCCACATGATTACATGACTTGGGTTATTTGCCTTGTGCTCCGATATAGCTGACTTATCATTTTGTTTGCATACTGATGACTTGTGTTCAGCAACCCGGGTGTTAATGGGCCTGAGAGTCTCGCCAATATATTGATCGCCACAGCTGCATGGTATTTTGTATACACATCCTCTAGGGTTGGGGCTTCCATTGCAAGATCCTCTACCATTTGCCCGGAGGAGTGTCTTAATTGCTGTACCGCTAGAGAAAGTTATATCAAAGCAAAACTTGAGCGTGAGCATAAGAAGACCCTTAAGGAGCTTCACGAAAACAGAGAGATAAACGATATTGTCTTTAATAAGCTCAATCCTATCAACTCTCAAGCTCCATATGGTAGAGCAACCATAAAAATACACAAGAACCCACCAAAAGCCAGGGTACTTGTCTGTTCACGAGGATCCGTCTTTTACAGCACTGCGCAGCACCTCTCACGCATCCTGGCACCCTTAGGTAAAGATGGGAAGGCATTCATCAGCGATTCATCGGCCTTTATAAGCAAGTTGAAAGAAGATCAACTTTCCGGTACCATGGTCAGCTATGATGTAGTTGACCTATTCACTAACATCCCTTTGCCAGAAGCCCTGGAAATTCTCCGGAACAAGCTCCAGACTCGAATCAAAGAACTTGACACCAGTCTCACGATAAATAGCATCATTAACCTCGCTACAACCTGTTTTGATTTCTCTTATTTCACATTTAATGACAAGATATATAGACAGATACGTGGCCTGCCTATGGGCTCACCATTGTCACCGCTTATCACTGAAATATATATGACCTCCTTTGAAGAATCTGCTCTCTCCACAGCACCCTTTCAACCTTTGTGCTGGTATCGCAAAGTAGATGATACGTTCACAACCATAGACAAGCAAGATGACCCAGCACAGCTACTGCAGCACCTCAACAACCAGCATCCGAGGATAAAGTTTACAATGGAGACTGAGCAGAACCGGCAACTTCCTTTCCTAGATGTTGCCCTCCAATCTACAGACAAAGGTCTCGTCACTTCTGTGTACAGGAAGCCAACTCACACGGATCAGTATATCAATTACAACTCCTGTCACCACCCACAGATCAAACAAGCAATTATTGCTACTCTCACTAGAAGAGCCAAGTCGATCTGTCACCCAGATAATTTAAACAGTGAAATTGATTACCTCAAGAGAACCTTTACCGTCCTCAATGGCTACCCAGCCCGTCTTGTCTCAGGACTATCACCAAAACGCTTGAAGTATCAGAACCGCGCCTCAAGCCTGAACCATCCCCGATCAGGATCACAATACCCTACGTGGGACCAGTCAGCCATCAAATAGCCCGACTAATCAAGAGCAAAGCGGGCTTTGATATAACTTTCTCTAGCGGTACAGCAATTAAGACACTCCTCCGGGCAAATGGTAGAGGATCTTGCAATGGAAGCCCCAACCCTAGAGGATGTGTATACCAAATACCATGCAGCTGTGGCGATCAATATATTGGCGAGACTCTCAGGCCCATTAACACCCGGGTTGCTGAACACAAGTCATCAGTATGCAAACAAAATGATAAGTCAGCTATATCGGAGCACAAGGCAAATAACCCAAGTCATGTAATCATGTGGAATGATATTAGGGTGATTTCGAGAAATAACAATGACTGGCGTCGGAGAAAACTACAGGAAGCTGTCGAGATAAGGAGACATAAACCAGCAATTAATCGTGATCAAGGTGTATACCTGCCAAGTGTGGGACCTCTTGATTAACTTTTGATGAACTTTAGATGAACTTTAGATACAAGAAAAACGAGTCTACTATTCTTTTGGAAAGCCTGCTATCAAGTAACCTTTGTGTAATTAGCAGTTGTTGTGTATTGACAATTCAACTTTCAACTCTATTATTTAGCATGAATTTCATCATTATGTAACTAACTCACTTATACAGTACTCTCCCTAGTGTACTGTGATGTCACTTGCATTGTGACGTCATAACTCAGTAATGACGTCATAGTGACGACGTCATAGTCCTAACTGCCAGTTCACCTGATGAAGGGACCTGGAATGGTCTCAAAGCGTTGTGAAAAATTAAAAAGTTTAATGAGAGAAATTAAAAAGAAGTTTAATCCATAAACAAATATCTTAGTTATACATCAGCAACAAAGATTGTTTCAGATACTTCAAGTTTGTTACTCCTACTAAATACATACAAAATACACACAATATAAGCCTCCAAAAGTTAATAATATTGATTGGGACGGTGTGGTAGCCTTGTGGTTGCTCATCATGCCAAACAACCTTGTTCAAGGGGTGGTAGTGCAGCCTAGTGGTTAAAGCGTACGGTCATCATGCCGAAGACCCAGGTTCGATTCCCCATTTCTGGTGACTCCTGCCATGATATTGCTGGAATATTGCTAAAGGTGGTGTAAAACTAAACTCATCCACTCACTCCTTGTTCGAATCCACACATGGGCACAATGTGGGAGGCCTATTTCTTGTTTCTAGAAGCAGTGTAAACCTTATTCAGTCACTCACTTACATATTAATGAAATGTTCCATGTACTTTTTCTGAAAGGAAAAAGGACTACAGAATTGCCAAATCAGGCACCCTGCAAGAAGTTTCGCGAAGTTTGTACCACTGCAATTTTTTAAAAGACTCCCTGGAAGGTTGATTGTTGGTTTAATGTTTAACGCCGCACTCAGTAATATTCTAGCTATATGGCAGCGGTCTGTAAATAATCAAGTCTTGACCAGACAATCCAGTGATCAACAGCATGAGCATCGTTCTACACAATTGGGATATGCTGACATTTGTAAACCAAGTCAGCCAGACAGACCAACCAATCCTGTCCCCAGAAGGAGAGAAAATGTACATGGTACTACTTCATATCCCTGAAAGTATATTCAACTTAGCTATGGTCTTTGTATATTTTCTTATTTCCTAATCTTAAACTGGTCATATATCTTAGCAAAGATATGGTGCTGACATACCAAGCATGATGATCCATGGGAATGTGAGATTCAAACCCACAATCTGCAGATCCTGGCACATCTTGGGGTTGCAACTCTACACAGAACGTTACCACCCCATCAAACAAACAACTTCAATATTTACAAAAGATACATTTATTTACACAAATATTACACATCAAATCTCTCATAACAAATATTGGGCCCATGTTCGTCAAACTCCTGCTTGGTGACCACCATCTTGCTGAAATCGGGATCCTTGGCCAACAAACATCCCCCTTCCCATGCATGTGATGTTGGGCTGAAACAACACAACACAGAGCACTGATAAACACAACACAGAGCACTGATAAACACAACACAGAGTTATCATAAACACAACACAGAGTGATCATACAGAGTTATCATAAACACAACACAGAGTGATCATACAGAGTTATCATAAACACAACACAGAGTGATCATACAGAATGATCATAAAAACAACACAGAGTGATCATAAACACAACACAGAGTGATCATAAACAGAGTGATCATAAACAACACAGAGTGATCATAAACACAACACAGAGTGATCATAAACACAACACAGAATGATCATACAGAGTGATCATAAACAACACAGAGTTATCATAAACACAATACAGTTATCATAAACACAACACAGAGTTATCATAAACACAACACAGAGTGATCATACAGAATGATCATAAAAACAACACAGAGTGATCATACCGAGTGATCATAAACACAACACAGAGTGATCATAAACAGAGTGATCATAAACAACACAGAGTGATCATAAACACAACACAGAGTGATCATAAACACAACACAGAGTGATCATAAACACAACACAGAATGATCATACAGAGTGATCATAAACAACACAGAGTGATCATAAACACAACACAGAGTGATCATAAACACATTGATAAACACACTAATGTGGGGGAGCTGGAAACCATCTTCACCCAATGCCAGTAGTAACTGCTCGTATTACTCTCCTACCCACAGTTCCTTGTTGTGAATATGGTGCCTCTGCTGATTTGTCAGATATTTTAGCAAACAGTCGATCACAAGTATTATCTAAACTAAGCATGCACATGACCATGAATCTAACATATTTGACTGAGTTATGCACCAGAACATGGACCAGTTTGACATGATATGCCTAACATTTTATAGGAGTCATTAGGACTGAACTCAGTCTAAGTAAACTTTGGCTCAGTATTATTCGTTACACTGCTATACTGAGTTTAACAAACCCTAGTAGAAGGTCGTGTCAGCTAACCTTTGAGCGACCTATGACCGACCGAATGGATTTAACCAATCAGAGAACAGCTACTGTTTAGGGTTTGGCGGGACTTACAAAATTCCCTGGTCACTGACACTGAACTCTCAACAAACGAAAATCCGCTTAAAACACAGATAACCGACCTGCAGTATATACGCTTAGTGCTTTCTGATGACATGCTTACCATTAACAAATATTTCCGCAAGCTGACATCCTTGAATATTGACAAAAATGCTATTTTCAGCGACTGTTTACTCACTGTTGTGGCTCGCTCCATGTGCATCACTAGGAAATGATCGTACGGAAAATAGCATTTGGAATCGTTCGTGTACAAACCTTTTCAAGGTAAAAGTTTAAAAGGTATAGGCAAATGCCAACTTTCGCGATTTGGTAAGCTGTGTCCTGATTGGTCATTATAAGGTTAGCTTCTACTAGGGTTTGTTAGACTCAGTATAAGCAGTGTAACGAATAATACTGAGCCTAAGTTTACTTAGCCTGGGACTGAACTTAAGGCTTGATTCAGATATATTTTGATATGCACCAGAGCAGTTCACCTAAGTATCTGACTTGTTTAACATGATATGCGTAATATTGTGAGAATATAATCCTTACTTCTTTGGCATTGAGACTGTTACATCATAATCACCTGGGGCCAACTTCCGCACATCGCTGTACCTGAAATTACAAAGCAAATATATCTGTCCACATATTTTTCTGTGTTTCCCATCTCATCCTCCCTGAATTTTCATTCATGAAAGAATAGCTCTCAATTTTCCCTTCTACTGTTAAAGATTATAACGAGGTCTCTCTTCCATTTTTGCTATTTCTCGCTCTCTTGATGGTTGATGCTGGACGTGAGAAACAAATACAAAATATGGTAGGCCTTCTAACATATAACTCATAAATCAGGTTTGCAATTTTGATAAAATCTGTAGCCCCAGTCATGGTTCTAAACTTATCAAGTAGCCATGCTGTCTTTTATTGAGGGTTTACGCAGATATAACATTGTATTTTTAACTTCCTTTACTGCGGTTCAGTTGCATCTGGAATGAACCATTTTATACCCACACTGACTGTTGCTTGGCATGCATTGAATATGCATAAAGTTAATCACTGGATGTTCAGACATGCATTTTGGGTTGCTTTCCCCACCACCTTCAATTTTTCATTGTACACTGTTATTATAAATTTTAACACTAAATTTTCCGTATGTCAAAAAAGCGTCCAATGTAGTTGTGCTGATGAACAAATAATTGTGGGGGTGCTGAATAAAATCTATATCCAATACAAGTAGTAATTGTACTTATTACTCCATGAGTACTTACATCCGCTTATCAAATCCTCGTAGGTGACAATTCCCTCCAGTCAAGAGGATGTTCCCCCAGTAGGTGTGGTTTCATCTCTGAAATACACAAACTATGTGTCAACGACTCAACATCATACAATTATCATCTGATCGACACATTATGGGTGAAATAACAAAATGTGAATCTATTCTATGATGCGGAAAAAGAATGTTAAAGGAACCTTTAAACAATTAGGGTTTTCTTATGATCGATTTACCATTCACAGGGTTCCTACAGGAGGTGAACTTCTGACTAGTAAAGACTAAATGATTGCACCACAGTTTCTAAACAGCACACTTCCCTCCCCAACCCCTCCCTAAATAAAACTTGCAGCTCGTGTCCACAGAGTGAGTGAGTTTAGTTTTAGTTAACAATATTCCAGCTATATCACGACGGGAGACAACAGAAATGGGCTTCACACATTGTACCCATGTGGGGAATGGAACCCAGGTCCTCGGTCGTGTCCACAGAGAACACGGAAACATGATATGTGGTTTTATACCACATTACGTTACTGTGATCATGAAGAAATTGCTGGGAAACCAACATTTATTAGTTTACTATATCCATTCAACTGAGGGCAGATGTTTTATACTAACACACCAAGGACAATAAGTACAGTACATGCAGTAACAATTGGACTAAAACCAAGAAGTACATTATACCAAGGGAGGCAACTCTGCTCAGACATCATTCACTCAAGTATAGACCGTTTGGCTCAAAAGCTGCAAAAACCTCACAGAGTGGGTATGATGTTTTGATTATGATCAGCGTTTCATTGAGTTTGTTATGTTTATTAGTTTTCGAGTTAGATTGCAATTCATTGGTCTGCTTTTGAGCCAAACGGACTGTAGTTCACTGTTTAGTTAAAGCCAGATACTGCACCTTACATATGACAAAATGCTTCACAAGTATTTGATAGTTTTAATTAGTTTCAACTTAGATCACAGCAGAAAGAAGTTAAAAGTTTATTACATTTGTTTATTAACCATTCACTCTGTATAATCTTATGAGTCTCTGTAAAACTGTGGAGATCAAATTTAAGACTTTACCTTCTTGTATTGGTTCTAGTGAGTTGATAATAGCTTCTGGGATTCCCATCTCTTGTATTCCTACATCAGATGGATGGAAAAGTAGTTCCGCTACAGCAAATCGTTCATTATTCATACGTATCAACTGAAACAGAAACATTCAAGCACCATTACAATATAGTCCAAAACTGACTGACTGACTGAGTTTGGTTTTACGCTGCTTTTAGCAATATTCCAGCAACATCACGGTGGGGGACACCAGAAATGGGCTTCACACATTGTACCCATGTGGGGATTCGAACCTGGGTCTTCGAGTTGACGAGCGACGCTTTAACCACTAGGCTACCCCACCGCCCCTATAGTCCAAAACATTTTCAAGGCCTCGTTTATCCATTGAGATCTGATTAGATGCCTGAAGTATGAAGGAAATTATACCATATTCAGCTACCCAAGCTGCAAATAAATCAACAATAAAAGACAACCACTGTGGCCTTAAAATGATTACAATTATGCGTAAATAGGTTTTAATTACGAACATTATGACTTTATATGTATATATACTTCTCATCACTTGGTTGAAGTCACTTTCAGCTTTATAACGCTGTAAAAATCTACATCAAAACTCTGTTCTATGCAATAAACAAGAAGTTGTTATAGATACAGTTGTAATCTTCGTTACTGACTCACCAAACAGTTATACAGATTTTGAGAATACTTGTACCTGTTCATTGTCCTTTGCTTTGCCTGTCGTGTCTTCTTGAGGGCGGACATAGCCACGCTTGATGTGTGTGTAGTCTGGTAACACATAATCCCGGGCAATTGTGTTCTCCTTGCCACGCTTCCTGCAACATACAGGGGCCATGTGTACAACCAATACACCAGATCTGTTACCATGGTTACAGCCAAATCTTACCAAAGTCAGCAGAGAAATTCGCACGAATGAAGGAGGGTCCATATTTACATGCCAGGGGCATATAGCTGCTTATATTGATGGCTGCAGCATTAAACAACTACAAACAAAACAGCAAATCTATGGTGATTTTGGAAAACAACAATCCAATTTCAAATGATATTTCTTACCTGGCCACATTCATGTCGGCGTAGAAGTCAGTGGCGACATAGCAGACATCTTCCTTTACTTGGTTGATGACATACGTTTCGTCCATTACCATCAGCTGCCTACAGACCATAAGCATGTGTTAGGATATGTGCTAGACATTGCACAACAAGTGTAGAAGTGAGCACAGCTCACATATCCCCGCTTCCCACTTTGGGACATGGAAATGACTGATATTGATATATATAATGTGACAAGGATCAGCAGCTCACAAGACTTTCTCCTTGACTCTACTAAACTTTATATTCATGTTAGATAATAGTTTTGCCATGTACTGATTACAGTAATAATTTATGGAAACATTATTTTTGTGTGTTTTCCATGGAAACCTGACATCCAACTGAACTTGACTGTCTCATGTTGCACACAATGAAGTGGATGTTGGTGAAGAATGTTACTGACTCTCATGCTGCACACATTTAAAATTTAAAATAGCAAACGGCACATCAATGGGTAATGATTAACATGTGTGTGAAGTTTGGTGAACCTAGCATGTAAACTTTAAGAGATATGTTCCGGACAAAGTTTCAGGATGGACGGACGGACAGAATGAACGCTATATACCCCCGTTACTTCGTAGCAGGGGTATAATAAACAACAGTTCTCATACCCTTAGGCCAAACATCAGTGCATTAGCATGTAAAAGAAAGACAAAAGGAGGAATAAGGTAGAGGTTTTAAAGGTTTCTGTGAATGAGTAAGTATGGTTTTACACCACTGTTAGCAATATTCCAGCTGGGGGACACAAGAAAGGGGGACTTTGTGCATCGTACCCATATGGCAAATCGAAATGGGTCTTTGTAGTAATGAGCAACTGGCCAACCCCACTGCCCCGATGTGAATGGGGACACAGCACCAGGACTCAAGTCCTAAAATTACTTGTTTGAGGTCCCCTGCACTCTCTAGCAAGGTATGTCAAGGCAAACCCCTACATGGAAACTCAAAGAGACTGACTGCTTGTTCTACATGGAAAGGTGCAATACCATGTTTATGACAATAACAAGCATGACAGTTGGGCACTGTAAGTCAATCATAAGAATGCTGTTATCTTCCTGACATCTCTTGATAATATTACGTTTTCAACACCAACAGCAATATCATGATTATAATACACCCTTTATAACCTCATCAAGCAGTATTACTTAATGAGTGAGTGAGTGAGTTCAGTTTTACGCCACACTCAGCAATATCCCAGCTATATGGCGGTGGTCTGTAAATAATCGAGTCTGGACCAGACAATCCAGTGCCCAACAGCATGAGCATCAATCTGCTAAAAGCAGCTAAAACCAAACTCACTCACTCACTATTCCTAATAACATAGTCACATGATTTTTAACATGGATCATCAAGATATGAACAAAATCCTAAAACATAAATGCCTACCTGTAGGATATTATTTCTTTTAAATGGTTTGTTAACAATTTCCCTCCAACATTTACTCTGAAACAAAAAACAACCAAAATTGTGATGAATATATCAAGAAAATCATAATACAGTAATTATGATATGTACAAAATTAAATGTACCAGTCGACAACAGACAATGATTACTTTATTAAGAAAGATATATCCAAGTCTTACATGAGACATCAACATTATCTACAACACCATATTGTACTGTGTTGTCAACAAGGTCTCATATATGACCCTATCATAACATCAGCTCAAAATACCCCCTCTGTTGTTTTATTTGAATGTATTCCCCAATTCTTCAGTGGAGGTGGTTTTCCACTTGTGCACAATACTTAAAATATTTACTGTTTCTTATTATATCATATTATATTACACATGTTAATATGGACAAATCCAAGTATTGCAATGCTGATAATACCGTAACAATATACTGTAAAAGCATGTAACCATGGTTACCAGAAGGTGGCCCTAGTGTCAAACTGCCAGTAACTGCAATATGAATAAATACTTCATTGCTTACCTCCTGATGGCTTCTTTGATTTTCTTGCCCTTAAAGTAGGGCACAATGTGTGTGTAGGAGTAGCCGGTGTCAACTACCAATGTACAAAGATTCTTCTCCGACTCCTCCTTGTGACTCTTGTACTGACTCAGACATGACGCTGTGAATAGGAACAACAGCTGTACAAAAGGTTCAACAACATAGTAGTGGTGGTCCGATTAATTGACATAATCGAAGATTGGTCGCAGTGACTAAACGACCAAGCAATCGAACATGTTTTCTCATAATCGAACGCAACCAATCTTGAACACTTGTTTGCATCAACAATATTTTCACAAGGTTGCTTTTGTCTGTGTCATTAAATTTATATTTCATAAGCACAACAAGCTCGTTCCAAATCATGAATGAATTTATCTTAAAGAATCCAGGAAATCTGTGTTCCTAACATACTAATAATCCTTTAAATATGCAAAATTTGCAAATGGATTTTGTTTAATTTGCAAAAAATACCAAATTACAACATGTTTTTTCTTTATTTTTTACAAAGACAACAGGAACATTTGATAAATGACGCTAACCAATTATTTTCTATGATTGATCGGTTGTAATGGACCAATCATCAATTATGAGATTTTAACCAATTCCCAACACTACAACATAGACTACAAAGTATGTCTTCTTGTATGCTGTAAACAGAAATAGTCTACAATGAGACAGACCAAAGATGTTTATGTAGTTGGTAAAACCCATGAGTAAGTGAGTGAGTTTGGTTTTATTATGCTTTTAGCAATATTCCAGCAATATCATGACGGGGACACCAGAAATGGGCTTCCTGAATCGAACCCGGGTCTTCGGCGTGACGAGCGAATGCATTTAACAACATTGCTACCAGTGTTCACCTTTAACCTGGAAAAGCTGCAGGCTCTAGGCACCTAGAACCCTAAAAAGGTGTGGGTCCTGATCAGAATGTGTAGGCCCTGTATTTTAATATGGAAATAATACTCTTAGTTATTGGGGATGAAAAAGCTGTTGGCCATAAGGACCTCCATAAGAAAACAAAAGCTGTGGGTCCGAGTGGTCTTCAGTAGGCTTCGGGCCTAAGGACCGACGTTAATTTCGAACACTGAAGGCTACCCCACTGCCCCCCATGAGCGAGGGTATGGTGCATCAAGGATGATCAAGATGAATGGAAAGTGCAGCCCCAAAGGCAGTTACGAGCAGAATATCAACAGCTAAGGGACACAACTCTGCAGAGCCAGTTGGGACACTACACAAAATGATAACACTGGGAATGTCATGTATTGCATGTTCAATCCCATCTACAAATTTACAAACATTATGTTCACCAGTAACACATCTACAGTAATATATATGTTTTTAACCATTGCATCTGTAAAGGGCATTGAACTGGTATTCTTCAAAGAAGACTTCATTCATTGCTTCTTGAGCTGAGGCAAAGTTGAAACATGGCTCCGTGACAATGGCTGTGCATTCATTTGAATTAACCTGCAAAACAATTAATGAGAACGACAATGTTTAACAAATCCCCAAATCATATATTAGTCACTATATGTCCTAATTTATTAAATTATTTAGGCCAGACCAATTTTTTTTCTTGTTTTACGGATCCGCATGTCGTATTTTTTCAAGAATAAGAACAAATTAAATTAATTAATTTTCCCCGCTCAAAAAATAAAATCCTAATGTTTTTATTGACCAAAATTGTACACTTACAAGAAATTTTTTTAGATTGTTTTTTGCCCCATATATACTTCATAAATTGCCAATAGTAAAATACTTAAACTTTAAGTATTTAGAAGGAATATTACTTTGACTGGTGATTTTATTTTCACTTTTCCCCTCCTGCCTTTAGGTGTTTTGAGGACAAAAATCTGTAAAACGGGAAATAAAATTGGTCTGGCCTTATGGCAACTTGCAATAAAAAGTCAATAAATATACAATATAAAAAGATAAAGATGCCACCAGCAAAAAACAAACAGTTTTGATCAATTGATACTGCCTAAGTATAAGTCGCATGTGCTAAAACTTTCGAAAATTGTTATATTCTACAGCATTACCATGGTTACTCATGAGATCCAGGTAAAACATACATCTATGGGGTGCGGCCGTGTCCCCAATAGAAAACTAATTTAGCTTTACATTTCATATAAATAGTTTATTGAACTGTATGAGAGTCTTAGATTGGCTCCCTTTCAGTGGCATTGACTGAATGTGAATCAAAGTATCCCAAAGTGTTTCCTCCAAATATGGTAATGATATATAGAATGTTCCAGCAAAAGTTGATAAATGAAAATGTCCTAGTGCTATTTGTGTACAGCAAAAACACTGGAGTTGGAGTTGTCTCCCTTGTGATTTAAAAGAGAATGTCAGGATATCTGATTCCAATGTACCTGGAAGACATCTTTTCCTAATATGTAGTCCCAAACTTGCCTCTCGATGTCCCAATTGGTCAGGAAGCCCTGGAGGAGGAATCAAGTGCAAGTAACAACTCTCAGAGGGAATATGATCTCTACAGACTTGTTTTACAGCAACAACAGTGAGGTAGCCTTGTGTCGAAAGTGTTGGCTCGTCACACTTGCTACATTATAGTTATACCCTCATCAGGCTGGTTTATTAATAATCTAGGTTGGAGGCCGTGGTGCACAAAGCGTTTGACCTGTTGTAACGCTATAGTTTATCATAGTTTATCAAAATTCTGGTGAAGGAACGTATTTAGCACACTTATAGTCCGTTTGGATTCAAATGAGAACGACAAATGATTAAATAACTCGAAATTGGGAAAAGTGCAGAAAACATAAGTAAGACACATGGTCCTGAAACCTCTGTACCCAACAGGATCTGAATTCAGAAATCTGACGTTTTGTTATTGCTCACGAAAAAAGTTGTTTAGTAAGAAACCATCATGTAGTATTGTGCTATTTTCACGCTTCACACTGGGGGATGACAAATGGCTGATGGAACAGTGCCTGACTAGCTGGGGTCATCTCACCTGGCTGTGCTGAGTTGCACATGAACGTGTGCGTGTGTGTTATCTGACCAACTCTCGGTTCCATACTGGGAACAAGGCTCGGCTTCGCCTCACCTTATTCCCGGTATCGCACCTCCAGAAGAACTTTTCCCTTGGCAGATCAGGGTTGAAAACCCAATGCCTCTACCTCAATGTTTTTATTGAAAACATCTTCAATAAATAAATACAAAACCATTCACTTTTTTATTTTATTATAATATCTGCACATTGCAGTTAATAATATTACAACTAGAATAAGAATGTTATCACAGCGAACTACTTGCTTGGCAGTTATTATTTCACCCATAACCATGCTTGACATGGGTATGTTAATATAGCAACCACTGAATTTCTGAGACCTGTGATGTAATTTGATTGAACTCATTTCAGGTTGGATGTCATGTCAACATGAGCAGTAGAAGGTGAAAAAAGTAAGACATGGCAAAAAGTACAAAGAAATGTCCTCACCTTCTGAAATGGCAGCATGTAGTACAACCCTGACAGGTCTTTGCATTCATCTATCTGATCACCAATAAAAATTCTTGTCCTCACATTTTTTGCTTTAGTTACACAATTTGGAATTATCCTGAAATGAAAATGAAGTAAGTAAATTGAGTGACCACTCATATTTGATCACTACACATTAATACATTATGACAGAACTCCAAAATTTAAATGCACAAACTCAAAAATGAGGTAGGGGTGGGGTGATGAAAATGAACATCTACACCACCACCACCCCATCAGCACACACACACACACATCCCCCAGCCATAAATTATGAACGGTCCCTCAGTACGAGTCCCGCAAAAAGGTTTGGATACAAATCTCAGTAGTGATTAGCACTGATTACTGGCTGCGTTCAGTTCCCAAAGAAATCTGTCATACATCGTCATCAAGACAGACTTTAAATAGCCTTGTACATGTGCTATCCTGGAATTTAACCGTGATCGTTGAACACAATATAAGCTATCTAACATTTCTCCCAGACTATGCTCTCACTCTATACATTAAATATGTCCTTACCTCGGTTCTTTGTCGGTAGCATAGCCAACTTTTGCAGTTCCCGCGCCGTTGTCCAACACCAGCACAGCCATTTTGGGAAAATATTCCTGCTTGTGGTTGTCGTAAACAAATAGAAATAAGTTGAAAACGCGTATCTAAACCCTGCGAAACAAACAAAATAACATAATCTATATTGTGAAAGGTAAGATAAGGCTTCAATATGTGTTTTGCATGAAACAAATTCTGTTGCCATTCTTAACGACAAATAAACACACGTGTGTGTTCTATTTTTAGAAAATGTGACGTCACGTCCTAGCTGCAGGTTGTTGCCAAGCTGGTGTGTACAAAGTGCCCGCACATGTGTAAGTAGAGTAGCACGGCTTACTCTATTGAATGATTGACATAATGGGACTACCGCAAGTTTGACAAGTCTTGTAACTGTTTAAAATGAACAAAGTGGAGAAGATGCGCAACTCATTTCCAAAGATTGGAGTGCTTGAGGGCCAAGGGGGTCGGGAGATGGGAGGGGCTGTGACTTGGAGGGGGCACGGGGGTGTTCACCCCACCCCAAGCAGTGTTGAGTTTGACAGACAGCTGGATAAGGTAGCGATATGGCTTGAACACTGGGACCACGATGAGGTAAGAAATATGCAACATATATATAAGTACATGTATGGATATTTATTGTGTATTTTGATGAACATTTTTTTTCTCTTATAACTTCAAAAAATATTTTTGTTGTTGCTGACTATATGCCAGAATATAAACATGTCAATATGGTTTAAAATTTACTAACTGTATTCTATTTGGAATTGTTTTATTTTTATAGTGCATTTATAAAATTTTAACAGCCTAGTTTATTCATATATATCTGTATATGTACTTGAAGCAACAGTGAAATATACTTTGAGAATAATTATAAAAGTGAAACATACTTTTGGAATCAATTGCATTGAATTTGTTCATACAAATGTATATATCTTTTTTATTATTAATATTTACATATATGACACATGTCTTATATATTTTATAGGCAAAAAGAAAAGTGTTACGATTTTGTTTTCAAACAGTATATTATATTTTGGAAAAGATATTTGGGTTTGACGTTTAAGCCCAGCATTAATTAATTGAAAAAAGTCCAAACTTAGATAATGATTCTTTGTATTCAAACTCAGTAAATAAATTTAGTTTACATTGCCTTCAGTAACTTTTAGATATCAGTTGGTGACAAGGATTCACCAGTCTTATTTCATACAAACAAGTTGTCACACCTCCACCTTTACCATAGTTTAGGATACTGTGTACAATTCAACAGGTATTGTAACAGATACAGTCAAAAATAGGTGCTAATGATGCTAACTATGAAGTCAAATAATGATATTATATTGTAACCTAAATTGTTGAATTGCCAACACAGTGTATGATATCTGCACATGTATTTTCAAAAGTGTTTTCCACTAATGGCCATATTTACTGCCATTCTTCTACTATCTCTTTTCACCACTACAATTACATTGCATGAATACAGCTATTTTCCTGTTATCCACATATAATCTTAACGTATAAGTCGAGAAGCTAGACTGTCTGCAATTTAAACCCAACCCATAATGTACACCACGAAGTGCCAGGTTATTGGCTTATTGATGCATGTAAAAGGTCCTGATTTCTATATGGCTTTCTGAGATACTGAAACCAGGACCCTTACACAATAGAACTGTCAAATCACAAATAGATTATCAAAAGCTATTTGCTCACATCATAAATATCTGATTTGACAAGTTAATCCCTCTAGTCTAGTTGTTTTCAACTAAAGTATGCAATGTGTTTGTGTCACAACTTCACCACATCATGGATAAATGGTAATTAAACTGTGCTTGCTTAGAGACATCTCGATCATGAAATACTGTTATAGAATTTGTTTTGCAATAGGAAATATTGCTTTTAAAACAGGGTAATGAAATGGTCTGGTGTATTGTGCTTATGGAAATTGATTTATCTTTGATGTGTGTGTCTGGTCCTGAATGTGTATAGCATGGAGAAGAAGAATGTGTCTTTAGTGGGAGGGAGATATATGTATTTATATGTTGTGAGGAATATAATCTGGTTTATGGTTGTATATAAACTGCCTTCTGTTTATGAAATAAGTTTTACCAAATCACAAGTGATGATAAATAGAAGGTATGGATACCCTTTTTAATACATATTTATGTGTCAAAGTTGTGTACCTAATAGTTCATGTTATTTTCACACAGAATACTGTATTACTGATGTCATGCTGTCATGGGGAATACTGTATTACTGATGTCATGTTGTTGTGGGGAATACTGTATTACTGATGTAATGCTGTTGTGGGGAATACTGTATTACTGATGTCATGGGGAATACTGTATTACTGATGTCATGTTGTCATGGAGAATACTGTATTACTGATGTCATGTTGTTGTGGGGAATACTGTATTACTGATGTCATGCTGTTGTGGGGAATACTGTATTACTGATGTCATGGGGAATACTGTATTACTGATGTCATGCTGTTGTGGGGAATACTGTATTACTGATGTCATGTTGTCATGGGGAATACTGTATTACTGATGTCATGGGGAATACTGTATTACTGATGTCATGCTGTTGTGGGGAATACTGTATTACTGATGTCATGCTGTTGTGGGGAATACTGTATTACTGATGTCATGTTGTCATGGGGAATACTGTATTACTGATGTCATGGGGAATACTGTATTACTGATGTCATGTTGTCATGGGGAATACTGTATTACTGATGTCATGGGGAATACTGTATTACTGATGTCATGTTGTCATGGGGAATACTGTATTACTGATGTCATGGGGAATACTGTATTACTGATGTCATGTTGTCATGGGGAATACTGTATTACTGATGTCATGCTGTTGTGGGGAATACTGTATTACTAATGTCATGTTGTCATGGAGAATACTGTATTACTGATGTCATGTTGTGGGGAATACTGTATTGCTGATGTCATGTCGTGGGGAATACTGTATTACTGATGTCATGTTGTGGGGAATACTGTATTACTGATGTCATGCTGTGGGGAATACTGTATTACTGATGTCATGTTGTGGGGAATACTGTATTACTGATGTCATGGTCATGGGAATACTGTATTACTGATGTCATGCTTGTCATTGCTGATGGGGAAATACTGTATTACTGATGTCATGTTGTGGGGAATACTGTATTACTGATGTCATGTTGTGGGGAATACTGTATTACTGATGTCATGTTGTGGGGAATACTGTATTACTGATGTCATGGGGAATACTGTATTACTGATGTCATGTTGTCATGGGGAATACTGTATTGCTGATGTCATGCTGTCATGGAGAATACTGTATTACTGATGTCATGTTGTGGGGAATACTGTATTGCTGATGTCATGTCGTGGGGAATACTGTATTACTGATGTCATGTTTTTTGTGGGGAATACTATATTACTGATGTCATACTGTTGTGGGGAATACTGTATTACTGATGTCATGTTGTCATGGGGAATACTGTATTACTGATGTCATGCCGTCATGGGGAATACTGTGTTAATGATATACTGTTGTGAAGAGTACTATGTTACTGATGTCATGTTGTCATGGGGAATACTGTATTACTGATGTCATGCTGTCATGGAGAATACTGTATTACTGATGTCATGTTGTGGGGAATACTGTATTGCTGATGTCATGTCTTGGGGAATACTGTATTACTGATGTCATGTTTTTAGTGGGGAATACTGTATTACTGATGTCATGCTGTCATGGAGAATACTGTATTACTGATGTCATGTCGTGGGGAATACTGTATTACTGATGTCATGCTGTCATGGGGAATACTGTGTTAATGATGTCATGCTGTCATGGGGAATACTGTGTTAATGATGTCATACTGTTGTGTAGAGAACTATGTTACTGATGTCATGCTGTTGTGGGGAATACTGTGTTACTGACGTCATGCTGTCATGTGGAATACTGTGTTACTGATGTCATCCCGTCTAACAGAATACCACATTACTGATGTCATCCCGTCTAACAGAATACCACATTACTGATGTCATATATTCACACAGAATATTCCATCACTGATGTCATGGTTCCACAGAGAAGTCTGTGTTGTCCTGCTAGTGCTGCTCTTAATGGCAGACATTGCAGACCTAATAGTGACTTTAGGTTGATTATTTCTTGGTGCAGTGAATATGTCTTATTGATCCTTGCTTTGACAAAGCCGACTACTGAATTATTTGTTGCGAGTTGATAATGATTAACTGTGAGACATTTGTCAGTTAATGTGTATCAGACGCTGGTGGCATATTGGCATGCACATGGCACAATCAATGGTTAACAATGTTTAATGTTCTTTATAGTTTCCTTCAGCTAACTGTGGGCGGTTGGGTAGCTTAGTGGTTAAAGCCGTCGGTCGTCACGCCGAAGACGTGGGTTCGATTCCTCACATGGGTACAATGTGTGAAGCTCATTGGTGTCCCCCGCCATGATATTGCTGGAATATTGCTAAAAGTGGCGTAAAGCCATACTCATTCACTCACTCACCCACTTTAGCTAACTGTCGTATTAGAGGTACGAAATGTTCGTTGTTTAATGCCGCACTCAGCAACGTTGCAGTTATATGGTGGCGGTCTGTAAATACTTGATGACTCTGGACCAGACAATCAAAGTCAAAGACAATCAAGTGATCAACATCATGAGAATAGATCTTAGCAATTCGGATATGGTGACATGTGACAATCAAATCAGCAAGTCTGACCTCAGTGATCCTGATAGCCTCCTCTTACAACAAGCATGGGCTGCTGAAGACCAATTAAACTAGAAACCAAAATCAAATTGTCAACAGCTTAGTAAATCAGTTTCTGCCACTGGCCCTCTGTCCATTTTGGGAATGTATTAAATCCAATGGTCATGTAGTCTGGGTGTACGAGATTGGGGATTGGGTCACTGGGAAAGGGATTGGTTTCAGGACTTGTCTTTGTTTTGTGGATATCCCAATATCCTACCATGGGAGCAGTGGGGTAGCCTTATGGTTAAAGTTTTCACTCATGCAGAAGACCCAGGTTCAATTCCCCACACAGGGTACAATATGTGAAGCCCATTTCTGGCCTCCCCTTCA